TCTGGGTTTTCCTCCTCAACCCCTTCTGGAATCAAAAATGGAACGGTCTCTTCATCCTCAGTCCATCCCCATAACGGGGATCCATCTCCCTCAAAGGTACCCCACGGTCCAGGTAACATCTCATCTGCTGCATCTCTTTGGCATGCCATGTCCGGCATTCTTCTACCTCTCTCGCTACCATCTCCTTTCAAACGCCGTCTCCACTCCTTGGCCTCTGTCTCCCCCCAATACGATGGTCTTTGGGGCAGTTCCCGACGCCACCTGTAATCAGCTTCTTGTTTGGAAACCCTTAGATGCTCCCATCTTCCTGTCCAGGGATCTTCCAGCCAAATCATCTCCCACCCCCCACCCCCAATATATCGTCCCGGCCCCTATTTATATCCCCTGCTCCCGCCTCCACCACTTCCCGCCTTCTCTCCTCTTCTCCCGCCAACCCAGGTTCTGTTTGGGCAGCTATAGTTAACCCCTTCATTCCCATCTCTAAATCCCTGGTTGTCTGAACCCTGGTGAACCAGCTTAGGGGTTAGTGGTGGAGTGGTCTGTATACTCCTAGAGGTCTTCTTGCAGGACGGCACTCCAGTGAGAACCTCCCTGGTCTCGTCTCTGGTGTTACACAGCACCGCAAGGACCACACATTTCTTATTCTTGCACTAACTAGTCTTTAAATTTAATTTGCAGAATAGAGATGTGCAGATCTGTAGTTCTGGATTACAGATCTGAGAATTTCCCAGAGGAATTCTGAGAACTGTAGTTCAAACATAATTTGCACACATTTACTACAGAATAACATGCACACACCCACACCCCAGTGCAGAAGTAAATGATTTTCAAATATCTCTAACACATTAAATATTCACACTGCAAACTAGCTATTGTTTTTACAATGTTTATTTTTTTTGTGAGGACAAAAAATTAGGAAGACAGCAGTTAAAGGCATGTACAGATTGTAGACAGGTGACCACACATAGAGAAATGTATCAAATGCAGCAACTAAATATTTCTTCTGCAAAATGTCAGCTATTCCAATTAAAAAAGTGGCTGGTTTTACTTTTTGTGTGTGTGGTTTTTTAAACTGCATAAAGTTCTTTGCTTACAAGCTGGCAAACTTAAAAAAGAGAGATTTAAAAAATAGGAAGAAAACCAAAGTCTCACTCTTTTCATTTCATGAACAAAGTCAACTATTTTAACAGGTGTCACACGTGTATGAATCTCGAGAAAACAGATAAAACTATTATGACAAAACATCCCAGGAAGAATGAAGTTCTAACACCTATTTTTATAAACGGTATCAGTTGCTAACATCAGCATGGCGTTCCAAAATCCAAGAGGCTAGATCGTCTTTCTTGCTCTTCTCCCAGTTAAGCATCATTCCATATGATGGATGATTCCCATTCCCTTCACCCAGTTCTTAATGTGTAGATATCCTCGCTAAGAGGATATTTCTCATTAGGATGAATGTGTGCAGCATCACCTAGATGTAACAAACATGCCACGGGTACAGAGACTGGACATGCTCAGGATGATTCCTGATTGCAAATATGGCCAAGATTGGACAGGTGCTTCCTATTGGAAGGCCTTAAATTTTCAAGGAAAATTGCATGCAACATAATGCGCTATGGCCTTTGAACAATTAAGTAGATGTGATGTGTTTTCTTTTGCTTATTGTATCTTGGTTATTGCAACAATGCCTGCTGAAGTGCCAGCTCAACCTGTCTTCAACCAAGCATCCTCCACCTGTGACATTGCAGTTACCATAATCCTTAACCTGCAGGGCTAATTATCATCCTGGCTGGGTGCATCACAAGTGCAGCACCATAGACAGAACCCTGTCATATTGTCTCATAATACTTTTCTTCTGTATCAGTTCACATTTATCAGTCGTCAAATGTAATCAAGCACTGCCATACATATGTGGTTCTAAACCCATACTAAAAATAGGATTTTGTATCATAGTTCAGCAATCTGCTGAACAAAAGCTATGTTCAAATAGTGTAGATACAAAAAATTAACAAGCCTCAGTTTTCATAAACGAAAATGCAGAAATGACACTGTGAGGAGGAAATCAGTATGGTCTCGTGTGAGACGCAAGGCGAGAGGGTAGAAGCTCTTGCCGGAGTGTCATCCTCCCTCAAAAAGGAACAAGAGGCACAGACAGACCACTTGTTGAGACTAAACACAGGGAGTTGATACCCAGGAATTAGAGCGGGAACTGTCAAAGATGACAGTAGCCACTCACACGGGGAGTGAGTTGGCGGGAAGAGAAGAAAGAGGGAGGTGTGTCATAGAGGCAGGAATGGAAGATAGAAAAGGGAGGTGGACGTAATACCAGGAGGTTGGGAAATGATATGGGTTGAGGACCCGTGGACTGGAAAATGGGAGAAGGTGTGGGTTCCTAGGGAAGAAGCTGATTATAGATGGAGAAGAGGGCTGCCACAGCGTCCTTCCTACTGGGGTGAGTCAGAAGCCAGAGAGTGGTGCAGGCGGCTCAGGGAGGAAAAGGAGACAGTAGAAAGGGAAGAAAAAGAGCAGGGGTTATGGCATCTGGAGGAAGCACAGAGGTGATACCTGATGGACTGTAGGCCCCTTTTCGAGGAGAGGAAGACCCCTATGAATCGAGGGGAGAGATGAGGAGACCAACCCATTATTAAACCCTGAAACAGAGGCTGCTGAGATGGAAAGCAGTAACCCGTTTTTGAAGGGACCTTGGAATTATTCAAACTATAACCCCTTTAATAAAGACATTTGGATGCCCTCGTTAGACTCATTGGCAATGAGAGAAAATGCAGGAATTGGGTTCAAGCATACAGACTTACTGTTACATGTTCCAACAATGCATAGTTATGATTTTCCAACGCAAGTGTCTCCAGTGTCTCTTTTGAAACCAGAGGAGGTAAAGTTTAAACCCTCACACAGAGATGAATCGTATGAACCCAAGGTGGTAAAATCACCATACGACATAGCAGACACAGTTATGTTGACACAGTTCTACACGAGGGCTGCATCAACGCAAAAATATATCTATCCAACTACACATGCACCTTCCATAAACAAGTGAGATTTCAAGTAATCATCCCAGTAATTGCTATAATACAACAAGCACAAAAGAAATGCAGTGGCTAACTAATTAAGAGCCAGAATCCTGTTGATGATTTACATATACAGAACCTAAAATTATGTAACTTGCCATAGGGAATTGGGGACAACCAACAAGGCACAGGTCACATTAAGAAGCCTGACTGTGCAACAGATATGCACTTAGTAATATGACCTCATTACTTAGTGGCTATTTCCTATGGTGACATACACATTTTAAGTGACACATACGTAAATCAAAACCAGGATTCTGGTCACTTGGTCTAAAAATAATCAACATAAAATCTTTTAGGTTGGTTTCATTGATTGTGTACTGATTTTGAAATAACATTAAAGATTAGGCCCAATTCAACCTATAAAATTGCACCAATCTGACCGCTGAAATGGAAAACTCCTATCTGCACCTTACCTCATTTTTATGTGTTGGGGAGGCCCCCTTAAGACAGTAGGAGGTCAGTGCTTCAGACAAAATCGGAGACATTACAGTACAGAAATTCTCTTCGCTAGTGAAGAGTGCACATACCTTCTTAGCAGAAACAAAAGCAAAACTGGAAACAGAACAATTCTTTCAAGTGCTGTAGATACTTACAAGAGGGGTGGTTGTTATCAGTTTAGAAGATTTGTTTTTCTGAACTATGACTCACAATTGCCATCTTGGCTGGGAGTTTCTGGGATCTATCATTCAACAACTGCTTTTCTAAGCACTGTATCTGATCTATGGTTTTAATTCAAAATGAGAATCTGTTTTCCAGGGACCAAAGTGGAATAAATATGTTGCCTATATTATGGGAAGCAAAGCCTTTTTAAAAAATAGTGAATTCCCCCTGCCTTTTTTTTAAAGGCATAAAGAGTAAATCTGTCCCAGACCTCGTTTTTAAAAAGTGCTCATTCAAACTTTCCCAGTGGAAACTTTGATAACTTTCTGTTTCTCTTCTCAACAGCATGATGTGCTCTACAGGAATAAGTACAAATATTACTGACACAGCCTATGTATGAATGTAGGCAACTTAATAAACAACTAAAAGTATGGCAAGATATGGACCATTGTCTAAAAGCCAATGAGTATGACCTCTAGTAGGCTTCATTTTTTAAATAAAAAAAGTAAAGAAATACACTATGCCACATGGAGGACTAATTAAGTGATTGTTTCCATATGCTCTTACGTTGGAAGTTACTTTCATCTGCAAAGCTTTGCAAGCCAATGTTATTTCAGGATAGTTTTCTTCCAAACTGTCTTCGATGCAAGAATAAATCTCAAAATATACCTCATACATAAGCAAGGACTGAGACACAGAAGATGCACTATTTTCAAAAGCAACGTAACAGTAAAATAAAAGCAACCTTCCCCAATGCAAAAACAAAAACACCAACATCCTGCACATACCCCCACCTCTTATATCTTTTCTTCACATCAGAATGTTAGACAAATATTTTCTTACACATTCAACAAGGCACACACAATGCCTGAAATTCCCCAAGTTATTAAGAAAACATATTTCCTTTGCAAAAAAAACGACGACCCCTCATTCCCCCAATCGAATACAAAGAATCTGAAAATGTTGCTTTTGGATCCACCTGATGACTTTGAAAAAAAGGAAGCAGTTATTTGTCCAGCCTGGTTTGCTTTATCTGTTCTACAAAAAGACTGTGCAACTTACAGGGCCACCAAAGTTAGATGTTCACACCACACTGATGGCACAGATCATGTTTTATTACGGGACCAACACTTGCGTTCCCCTGTGCGTTAAGCAGAAGCAATTTACAACTAAGCCCTTTTCCAAAAGAAAAGAAAAAGAAAAAGAAAGAAACAGTGGTCATTTAAGAAGGCACCAGTTGTGCTTCCTCATTTGGCGCTTTTCACTTAAAATACTTGGAAGCATTCAGAATCTTTTTTTTACAACTAAGCCCTTTTCCAAAAGAAAAAAAAAGAAAAAGAAAGAAACAGTGGTTATTTAAGAAGGCACCAGTTGTGCCTTCCTCATTTGGAGCTTTTCACTTAAAATACTTGGAAGTATTCAGAATCTTTTCGGAGTCCCACAGATTCTTGCAGCGTGGTGAACATCATGAAAAGAATCCAGCATCTTGTGTAGCTTGTGATCCCTTTTGCATTAAGGCTTTATTCCATGGAGAGAATGTTTCTATGAATAGGATAACAGTGTGAGGTTCTCTTTTCATCTATAGAGTATTCTCTTTAAATGATGGCATCGTGTTCATCACTGAAAGAAAACAACAACATTGTGTATTATAAGTGACACCAGAGTTGAATGCACAAGACCATTAAAAGTACGAGTGACACTTGTACAGCTGCCTTGGGACTTCAATCGGTTCTACACAAGCCTATGTGTAGCTCACAGAGAGCAACTGTTGGTTTTCAGATATCCCATCAGCCCCACCCAAAAAGGCAAAAAACATATCCCACTGGTCCTAACATGTAGCTTACCAACTCCAGCCAGCATAATCAATGGCCATGTTCACTGGAGATGAGTCCAGTGTCTCTGGAGTGCACCCAAGTTGGTTTGAATTTAACAAAAGTTGATCATTTTCATGGAATCATAGAATTGTAAAGTAGTTGGAAGGGTCCTATAAGGCCATCAAGTCCAACCATCTGCTAGATGCACGAATACAAATCAAAGGATATCTGCCAGGTGGTTATCTAAGTTTCTATTGAATGTGTCCAGTGTTGGAGCACTCACCACCTAGCGAGGTAATTGGTTCCACTGTCTTACTGCTCTAGGGTAATTTACATTTACATTTCCTTTGGATTGTAAATTCCATGGGACTCCCAGATCATTCAGTGAGATCTGGTATTTGCTAAGCCTTACAACAAGTGACCACAGGCGGATGGCAAAGTATGCAAAAGACTGAAGATTCAGTATCTGACAACCTATTAAAAGGATCAGGTAGAAAGTGATACATCCTCCACGGAGGACTTCGAAGGGCCACAACCAGTCAGAGCAGACAGGACAGGGCCCGATGGACAAACAGCCTGACCTGGTATAAAGTTGCTTCTTATGTTCACAAACCAACACAATCAGGGTGCATCTATGATTTGGGCATCAAACGGGCTCATCCATCAGATATACTGGTTTCCTTGTGAGTGCAATCCTCAAAAGTCCACCTCCTGGGTTTTATCTTTTTAGTGATGCAGGTGACAAAAACAAAACAAAACAAAACACCTGAATTTAGACTGTACAGTAATTCTAAAATGTAATTTATTTATTCATTTATTTATTTTGTGTTCTGTGGCTTCTACGGTTTGTATACAGTGACCTCTTTTGTTTTAAAATGTGTGGGTTTAAAGTGTGGCTCCAAAGTCTGTCTATTTTAAAATCAGAAAATATTCTGTGAGGGGCTGTGCTGGCTGTTGATGAAGGCAAGCTGTAAAATGCAGTTTAGACTCAAGTCTCCCCCTTCCTTCCCCCAATTGTCTTTTCTTGTTCTTTATGCTCTCTTTCTGTGCTGAGGCGGGTCTGTTTGCTGGAATAATGGTTGCTGGCTGTTGATGCAGGCAGACTGTAAAATGCAGTTTAGACTCCAAAGTCTTTTTTTTTCTTAAAAACCAGAAAATATTCTGTGAGGGGCTGTGCTGGCTGGTTTGCTCTAAAATGCAGTTTAGATTCAAATGTGCTTTGTTAAAAATGTGTTTTAGACTCCAAACATTCTCTCCCCCCCTTCTCTCTCTCTGTGTGTCTTCTCTCTTTTTGTGCTTAAAAGCACAAACCTTTGTCTGAGGGGTCTGTGTGCCCCAGTGATGACCTTTCTTTCCTTCCTCTCTTCCCCATTGTTCTCTCCCTCCTTTCCTGCCCTTTTTAAAACCTAAGTCATTTTAGGTTAAAAAAAGAAAATTTCTCCGTCTAGTGGCAGAAGATGGATTAACCAGTTTTGCATTAGTTCCTATGGGAACTAATGGTTCGACTTACAAACCATACCTCTACGTAAGAACAAAAAACAGCTGGAACGGATTAATCAGGTTTCAATGCATTCCTATGGGAAATGCCGATGCGACTTATGAACGTTTCGACTGAAGAACACCATTCTGGAACAGATTAAGTTCGCAAGTTGTAGCACCACTGTAGTTCCCTGGAGCCACATGTTATTGTACAGTGCACATTTTGCAACACTGCTACTTGTTGAGGTGTTGAACTGAAGGTCCCTGTCTTTCTCCTTTGTTTTGCAAGAGACAAAACCAAAAATAACTGGGACAAAAAACATCCCAACGCATCTACTGCTTCTCATCAGTGGCATGCTTTTTATTCCAGCCAATGTAAGTGCTCAGTACTGTTTTTCACTGACTGTGGCACTTGCAAACAGAAGTAGATCACACACACTGGTTATCAATAAGGTGTCCCTCTGTGCAGGGGAGAGTAGACGCCTCACTGTATTAAAGTGATTCATGTACATAACTAAACCCAGTCCCTGACCTTAAAGTTACAGCTAAACCCAACACACTGCTGCTTTTCAGTATAGTGAAATGCCAATGGGGTCAGAAAATACTCCGGCCTCATGCTGTGCAAATTATTTTCTAATCTTGGCACATGGAAGTTGAACAGGAAAATGAAGAAGGGTACCAGCTGCCTGGATAAGAAACATGTGTCAAGAATACAAGTGGAATACTATCATATCACAGGAACATCAAATCTAGAAAAGTTCATTTTGAAGCTAAAAATCCCACAACCCTACAGTTAGCATTGGCAACAGCTAGAGAATTCTAAGAGCTGTGATCTATTTTTAAGAAGTCACCTTCCCAAGCTCTGGATAAACCAAGACAGTCTCCATACAATCACAAAGAGTGGCTTAACCTTGCATGTGGCAGAACATTCTTTGCTTAAATTGACGCCAACGGCCAAACAGAAATCCACAACTGGGAAAACAAAAACAAATGCAAAAATAAAATGGCCTATGACCCTACCGTCAGGAATGAAAATCCTAGCCATGATTACACACATGCCAGTTCTCCTCCCCCGCCTCCTGCCCCCAGTTTAAGTACTTTACATTTTAAAAATAGAATCCGTGCATGGAAATGAGCTATTCCACCATAATTAAAGAGTGGAATGGTAGCTCTTTGCAAGAATGAAAGGGTGGGTCTAGAACATGTTAGGTCTGGATCAAACTACGTGCTACTTTGTAAGGCGGGTGCTTTGTAAACAGCAGCAGGGGGTAGGGATGTTTGCTGCTGAAAGGGGACAAATCTGTTAAGTGGCTAAAATAGTTCAAAAAGAAGGATATCACAGAGCGCCTGGTCTCTGCTGATGCCAACGAGATCAAAGAAAGCCATCTCAAATGAAACAAAAAAACCTCACATTGTTAGGAATGACTACAAAGGCCATCTGAAATTCCTAGTGATGGAATAGTGTGCTGATCTTCTGTATCAAAGGAACAGCAACAAATAACGCAGTTGGGATTAAAGCAAGCAGAGTAATTTGGCTACTCGGACTCCTATATTCCTCTGTTTGAACAGCGTGAGAGATGCGAGTTCTGGTCCAAAAGCACATCTGACATTCCAACATTGGAGGCAAGACCAAACTTCCAATCCAGTAGCATTCACGTACAGTTATTATTTTATTTGCTACAACCCTAATCCATTCTTCTTCAATATGTCAAAGGTAGCATGCATGGTTCTACCATCCTTGAAACACAACTTTGCGAAGTAGATCCAAGTTGAGACAAGTGCATGGTGGTTGTAGGTTATGCAGTGAGTTTTATGGTTCAGTAGCGATTTGCACCTGCATCTCCCAAGTCCCACTTTAACGCTAGAACCACCACATCACACTAGTGTGACAGCTTCTGTGCACAGTGGATTGTACAGATAACAAAGAAGAATACCTGCATGCCACTGGCAAGCTTCCTTGGGGACTCTTGAACTTACAGAATGTAGGAACACAATAAGCTGCTTTCTACCAAGGAAGACCATTGTTCTATCTGGCTCAAGTGGTGAAAAATGAGAATCAGGAAAAAAAACACATTCTCTGCCTTGTGTTTCCTACAAAGAAGCATCCCCCCCCACAGACACAGAGAACTTACATGGTTCGGTATTGAACACCCCTTTTTGCATGGTAGGTTCTGCATCCGACGTAGCCAATGGCCAGGAGTCCGAGCGTCAACACGATGCCACCCAAGAAACTCCCAGCGCTGAAGCCCGATGATGAGGCTTGAGCTGCTGCAGCTTTGGGAGAAGCTGAAAAACACGAAGCACACAAATTCATTCATGTGTCCCTGCCACCATTTCATGTCCTCTTCCCTGTACCCAGTCTCGTTACTTAGCTTCTTTTTGCAAAGGGCATATAACTGATTAGTGTGATTGGTCTTAAAGCAAGCCATGGTTTCAGTTTTGGCAAGGAAGATGTTGGCCCTTGGATCTACCCAAGCTGCCCAGGCTTGTCTTTGCTCTGATTTGTAGCAGATCTCCTGGACTTGAGATAGGCATTTTGAAGACCAAGTGGAAGGCATTTTGAAAACCTACTAGTGGGACTTTGGTGCAGGCCATGGTCATTTCACAGATTGACTACTGCAATGCCCTCTATGTGGGGCTCCCCTTGAACCTGACACTCACATTTTGAGACTGATATACAAAGCCCTCCACAGTTCAGGCCCATGTTACTTGCCAGAGTGTATTTCCTTAATGTCCTCTGCCTGACCCATAAGATCATCCCAGTTCCGGCTCCTCTGGGTGGCCATCCTGAGGGAGGCCTATATACAGTGGTGCCCCGCATAGCGACGATAATCCGTGCAGCAAAAATCGTCGCTATATGGATTTGTCGCTATGCGAACTTAAAAAGCCCATAGGAATGCATTGAAACCCCTTCAATGCGTTCCTATGGGCTTAAAACTTACCTTTTAAGTGAAAATCCTCCATACCGCAGCCATTTGAGCTGCCCGGTAAGCGAGGAATCCGTCCTTGTTTTACTTGGCGGCCATTTTGGAACCGCCAATCAGCTGGGGAAAAAACATCGCTATGCGAAAATCGGTAAGTGAAACAGCTTACTGATCGTCGCAAAGCAATGTTCCCCCATAGGAAACATCGTTATGCGGTTGCAAAAGCGATCGCAAAAACATCGTCGCTATGCAGATTCGTCGTTAAACGGGGCGCCCGTTATGCGAGGCATCACTGTAAATCCTTTACAAGAGGTAGGGTCTTTTTTGCAGTGGCTTCAACTTTATAAAACCAGCTTCCAGAGGAGTGTTCACATTTAGGAAGCAATTAAAAATACTGCTTTTTAGGGAGGCTTTCCACACCAACCCTAGCAGACCCATTCTCCTCCCGCCCCATTTCCTCCATCCACTCTGGATGATTAGTCGGTGTCATCTATTTTTAGGGTTACTGTTACTGCTTTTAATGTTTCTACCTTTACTTTTGTTTTCTATTGTAAATGTTGTAACTGCACAGAATAATACCTTGACACTAATGGGAGCGGGATACAAATTAAGTGAATAAATAAATATCAGACAAAATCCTCAGAAAGAGTTCAAAATACATTGCCAGGTTACAGACTGATTACTGAGCTGTCCGTGACACATCAGGAAAGAAATCTTGGTGTGCAGGTGGCCAGCTCAATGAAAGTGTCAACCTAGTGTGCAGCACTAGTGAAGAAGGCTAATGACATGATACCATGTTAGGTATCATTACAAAGTGGATTGAAAATTTAAAAAGCCAACATTATAACACCATTGCACAAAACACTGGTAAGGCCGTATCTGGAGTATTACGTACAGTTCTGGTTGCCGAACCTCAAAAAAGACATAGTGGAACTGGAAAAGGCACAGAAGAGAGTGACTAAAATGATGACTGGGCTGGGGCATCTCCCTTATGAAGAAAGATTATGGCATTTGGGGCTCTTTAGTCTAGAGAAAAGGCGCCTGGGGGCATTTTTGAGATGTAAAATTATTCAGGGGATGGATAAAGTGGATAGAGGGAAGCTCTTTTCCCTCTCACTCAATACCAGAACCAGGGGACATCCAGTCCAACTGAGTATTGGGAGAGTGAGAACAGACAAAAGAAAATATTTCTTTACCCAGCGTGTTGTTACTCCTGTGGAACTCCTTGTCACAGGAAGTGATGATGGCATCTGGCCTAGATGCCCTTAAGGGGATAGGACAGAACATATATACAAAAAAGACTGTACAACGTGGAACAACGTGGATTTTATTTTTTTCCATAATAATAATTCAATTAAATAACTGATTGTAAGGATTTCTGGAGGAAAAGTCTATCACAGGTTACAAGCCATGGTGGCGATGTCTAATCTCCAGGCTTAAAAGGATGGTACCCCCAAATGCCAGATGTAGGGGAGGGGTATCAGGAGACAGGTCTCTAGTTGTCTTGCAAGCTCCCAGAGGCATCTGGTGGGGCTTCTGTGAGATACAGAAAGCTGGACTAGATGGGCCCTTGGCCTGATCCAGCAGGGCTCTTCTTATGTTCTTACACTAGTCCCTCAAAATGCACATACAACTTGACAGTTATGACTAGACATGGGATATTCATATCCCTAGGGATACGAATAAGAATATTGGCACCATAAGTGCCTGGGAAGCCCAGTTCCTCCACTGTCCTGAACAGGCAGGTCCAATTATTGATCGCTGCACAGCGTGAGTGGCTGGCATACTTCTTGTCGTGCCAATAGTGGAAGTAGCTGGGCCAGCACTTCCCCGCCTCCCCATACAGCCAACCACTCAACAGCAGAGCAGGGAGACTCCTCATCCCACTTTCTGGCTGGAGTGATTGGCTGCGTGGGGAGGCAGGAAGCGCTGGCCAGGCTGTTTTCCAGATTGGTGCAACGCCAGCCATAGTGACCAGTAATTAGACCTGTTTGGTTTGGGGGGGAAGGGACTAGACCTCTCAGGCACCTGTGGTACCGATATTTGCATTTGTATCCTCAAGGATACAGGTATTCCATGTCTAGTTATGACAGTTCTTCCCATTGGGGAGGCCATTCAATCTAGTATCAGTTTCCTCTCTCATTTGTGGCAATTTCTGTGGGCGGGGTGTTGGGATGGGTAAGAACTAAGTTTCAGTTCCATTTGATAGGAATTCACCAAGATTCACTAATTGGGATGGAAAGAACCTGAAATTCTAAGGAAAACCCCAATGTAGGAGAATGTAACCAATAGCCTTCCTCTAGCTTAGGGACTATCTTCAGTTGTCCTTCTGGCTCGTTAAGTTGGATCTCCAATGGAAAAATACGAAAGAACTTTCAGACATAGAACCAGAGTTAGAAAGGATCCTAAAGAATCTCTACTTGAACCTCTTTGTAGCTCCTTTGTAGCCCATTTACTGCTACAGCATCCCTAAAAGATGGCCATCCAATTACTAATCAAACCATTTGAAGGAAACACAACTTCCACCACCATATGGCACCAGGTTATACAGCTCATAGCACACACTGCCAGGAAGTTGTTCCTAATGTTCAGTTGACATCTTTTTCTTGTAATTCAGACCTACTGGTTCAGGTCCTATGAGGTTATACAGCTCATAGCACACACTGCCATGTTCAGTTGACATCTTTCCCTTGTAATTCAGATCTACTGGCTCAGGTCCTATCTCCCGGAGCGACAAGGAACAACTCTGCCCTACAAATATTTGAAAATAGTTTTCCTATCACCTCTTAATCTTTTCTTCTGCAGGCTAAACATACCTATCCCCTTTAACATTTCTTCCTAAGAACTTTGGCCTCCATACTGCTCAACACCTTTGTCATCCTCTTCTAAACACGTTCCAGTTTGTCAATGCCTTTTTTTGAACTGCAATGCCCAGAGCTTTGCAAACTAGATCGATGTTTCAAAAACTAGCACCCAGATACCTACAGAGAGCAAGGCTGCTGTCTTCTCTTCTGATGTTCTGTGAGAAGCTGCATTTGCAAAGAAGCTTCTGCGCAGTTCCTATAATGCTGTTTCTTATCATAACTTGTTGTTTTGTGTATCACTGCTTGCACAGCTTGGAAATGTTACTTTTTTGAGGGCTGCTGGTTATGCTGATTGGTGGATTCTGGGATCTGTAGTCCAAATAAGGTTTCCAAGTTCTGACTGGTTCATATTATTACATTTTTGCCTTTACATTTATTTTTGACAACTAGGTGATTTCCGAAAACCCTGTTTTTAAGTGCAAAGTAGGACACAAATGCTAGACATCAACATAACCCGCGATCGTTCCAATTTTAGTAACTGTGCTGCCAAAGCTACTGTTGATTAACATAAACTGCTGGATAGATCAGTGGTTTCGGTAGAGGTTGTGTGTTTTATTCCCCACTGTGCCTTCTTGACCAGGGCTGGACTCGACCCTTGGGGTCCCTTCCAGCTTTGCAGTCCTGAGATTATTATTGTAACAGATAATGCACAGAAACACATTGCCAGCATGATTAAGATGTCTTAGAATTTAAGTGGACTTCAACTCCCAGAAATCCTGGCCAGCAGAGGTGGTGGTGAAGGCTTCTGGGAGCTGTAGTCTAAGAACATCAGGAGGGCCAAGATTGGACACCACTGTCTTAGATCTTTGTTTATTCCAAGTGCCCATCGCTGCAGTTTTAATTAAATACTTCCCATTCTTCATTTAAAATGGGGGGGGGTCACAGGTGAAGCTGGAGTCAAAATGCTTCTCTCAAGCACTTATCACCTCTTGCATCAGACAAGGACATGTCAAACAATCTGACCAAATTAAAAGAAGACCTGTTTTGAACAACCCGTTCTGATATTTTGATCTTATTACTCTTATTATTATCATCACTAGTTTGGGGAGTCTTCTGGCCTTTTTAAAGTTTACAAAACTGCTCAGAGTCCTTCGAGAGTGGAAAAAGTTCACCCTTCCAATTTTAAGAATGGAGAACAATCCCAAACTAAAATTTCAAACTGGGCAGCACACAGCAGATGTCTCCTGGGTGATAACCGCTGATGTCCAATTGTTCAACACATACCTGTCAGAGAAGGCCGTACTGGCTTGGGAGTTGCAGTTGTCACATTAGGTGACGCAGGCTTGCCTGTTGTGGATTTCACAGCTTTGGTAGTGGCAGTCTGGACTGTGATCTTGGCAGCAGTGGTGACATTGACAGTAGCTGTAGGTCTGACAGTGGTTGTGATGTTAAAAGTCACAGCAGTGGAGGCTGTAACGTTCATTGCTTTTTGTGTGGTGTTAGTAGTACTGTTGCTTCCTGAACTGTGATCACCTGCAAACATGGTGAAATTGCGGTTTTATGACAACAGAACATATATACAAAAAAGACTGTATAACATGGATTTTATCTTTTTCCCCATAACAATAATTCAATTAAATAACTGACTGTAAAGATTTTGAGGCACTTTATATAATCATCAATCCAAATTCACTGAGAAAACAGAAGAAGATTGAGACTTGGAAGGCCAGCTATGAAGAAAGTAGGGGATGTGTCTAGAGGCTAAGATAATCCACAGTCAGTGGTGTCCAACCTTGGCCCTCCAGATGTTCTTAGATTACAGCTCTCAGAAGCCTCCACCACCACCTCTGCTGGCCAGGATTTCTGGGAGTTGAAGTCCAAGAACATCTGGAGGGCCAAGGCTGGGGACCACTGAACCACACTATTGTATTCCTAATTAATATGTAATTGGCTGGCCAATGAAGAAAGCTGACTTGGGAACAATCAATTTAATTCGATATGTGGTGTTGTATGAGATGTTTTACACAACCCTCAAATAAGAGGGTTGTAGATCAAATCAGGCCTGAACTGTCTCTAGAAGTTAAAATGACTAAACTGAGACTATCATACTATGGAGTTACCAGAGGAAGAGAATCCACACTTGAAAAGACAGCAGTAATGCTGGGAATAGTGGAATGTAGTAGGAAAAGAGGATAATCTAATATGAGATAGATTGACTTAATAAAAGAAGCCATGGGTTTCATTTTGTAAAGACTTGGGCCAGACATGGATGGTTTAAGAGATCATGAATTCATAGGGTTACCTTCAGTCAAAGCAACTTGACAGTACTTAAGAACAGGAACAAGTTCAACGATGTCTGGAGAGCCACAATTTCCTCTTGCCTAAATTCTGTATGTGAAGTGCTGTGAACATTCTAATCACCTTACAAATGCTAAATATAATTAGCAATAACTTTTATCAGAATATCTAGCACAACACATGAGTAATTATGCTCTTCTTTACTGGACTCAAGAGACAAAGACAAATTCATTAACTTCAGCGTCTCGTTTTTCAACATTAAGTGGGTTCCATTCTGTTCCCATATCATTTAAAGAAATTATTTTCATTCAAAAGCCTACACTCAGATACATACATTACTGAATACAAACATATTTGAAAAAATTTTCAGTATGATCAAGCTTTTATGTTATTATTGCCAAAACAATTTTCCTTAATTTCAAAATTCAGAAAACTGGGAAGGATAATCCTACTTCGGTTCATGTATTAGTTAAAGAAGTATAAGTAGATTGCATTTTAAAAAATATGATCTGAATGAATTTGTTCTGCATATTAAAGCCTCATTTCCCATTATTATGAATTCATATCCTTATCCACCCTGTTTCATCGGCATCTCAAACTGCTGATTACAATGCAATGCTTATTATAAGGAGCCTAAATGATGAGAAAATATCAGTGTCAAACAGAACTTGTGAAACCACATTCCATTCTTTCTTTTAACCTTGGCAATTGAAACTTGGCCTCTGCTAGAAAGATGGAAGACACAGACATGCATTAGGGCTGCTGTTACATTTTCTCCAAGGAGAAGATACAGCTATGTCAAAAGAGGGGCTCAGACTCACATCAAATACACGATTCAATTTTTAAAATATTCTACTTACCGTATTTTTCCGTGTATAAGATGATACTTTTCTCTAAAATATTTAGATTAAAAAATTCGAGTTGTCTTATAAACAGAAGTGAGGGGGAGGGGGAAAGGAGGAATCATCAAAGTGCTTTTATTCCTCCTTTCCCATTCCAATTTTTGCAAAGAAAGTGGAGGGGAAAAGCACTTTCCTCAGAAGAAAGTGCTTTCTTGTGAGGAAAGTGTTTTCTCCCTCCTCTTTCTTCGGAAGAAAGTGGAGGGGGAAAGCAGGAATCAAAGCGCTTCGATAATTCCTGCTTTCCCCCTTCACTTTCCACGCAAGAAAGTAGATTGGGCCAGCATTTTCCTTGCAATAAAGCGCTTTCTTGTGAGGAAAGTGGAGGGGGAAAGTACTTTCCTCAGAAGAAAGTGCTATCTTGAGAGGAAAGTGCAGGGGGAAAACCCTTTCCTCAGAAGAAAGTGCTTTCTTAAGAGGAAAGTGAAGGGAGAAAGCACTTTCCTCAGAAGAAAGTGCTTTCTTAAGAGGAAAGTGCAGGGGGAAAACCCTTTCCTCAGAAGAAAGTGCTTTCTTAAGAGGAAAGTGAAGGGAGAAAGCACTTTCCTCACAAGAAAGCACTTTCTTGCGAGGAAAGTGGAGGGGGAAAGCAGGAATCAGAGCGCTTCGATGATTCCTGCTTTCCCTCTTCACTTTCCACGCAAGAAAGTGCTTTCCCCCTCCATTTTCCTTGCAAGAAAGCACTTTCTTGCGAGGAAAGTGGAAGGGGAAAGCACTTTCTTCCAAAGAAAGTAGAGGGGGAAAGCACTTTCCTTGCAATAAAGTGCTTTCTTGTGAGGAAAGTGGAGGGGGAAAGTACTTTCCTCAGAAGAAAGTGCTTTCTTGAGAGGAAAGTGCAGGGGGAAAGCACTTTCTTCCGAGGAAAGTGCTTTCTCCCCCTCCACTTTCTTGAGAAGAAACAAATTCTGGGTTAGAAAAGTGGGGCGGCATCTTATATGTGGGGGCATATTTTACACGGAAACATACGGTAGGTAGTTACTTATGTGCTATCAGGTCAGAACCAACATACAGTGACTCAAATGGGGCTTTCAAGGTTAAGGGAGATAATGAAGGAGTTATTTTATGAGTTTCCATGGCCAAGTGGGGATTTGAACCCTGGTCTCCAGAGTCCTAGTCATCACTCCATCCACTGCACCACATTTGGCTACCTTTCCTACACAGGGGAAGGTTTTTAAAATATAGAACACATCCCCCAAAGTACAAGTCCTGGTTTGTACAGCCAGAAGTAACAGGGTCAATTCTAACAACTCAGTTCTCTTTCTCTTTCACTCCGTTCTGCCATGTGCACTGACCCAGTCACGTCAATAGTTACAGGAACTCTGTGGCAAGTTACCATTTGGCAAATCATCACCTGGCTTCATCCGGGTGAATGGTTGCTAGCCTTAACATACTGGTGAATGCTGTTTCATAGGCAACAGAAACTGATTCATAGGCAACATGATGAGACATGAGTGGCCTGAGGCTAAAAAAGGGATTGGAAGACAGGTTTTGTCAAGATCAGGAAGACTGTACAAACAGGGAAAGCAGGACAGAAGTAAAAGGAGAATCATGGGTATGCATTTTCGTGAACAGATTCAGGAAATAGCCTTTGGAAGGGACATAAGATTGGGAGGGGGAAGCACACAAATAGCTTCAAAGAAACAGAAATAGCCTTTGGAAGGGACATAAGATTGGTGTGGGGGAAAGCACACAAATAAGATTCATAGAAACAATGAAGGTGAGCAACAGCAGCTTTCCTGCCCATCAACAGCCATCACTAGCCTTCCTTTTTCAAAAGGCCACTGGAGGTCTTGCAAATGAAGAGCCCAATTAATTTAGCTTTCTTAGCTCAGAGTCCACTAGGCAGGATTAAGCAGCCACTCTCCTTACTGACAGTCCAGCAGGGCCACATGTAGGGCAGGAAAAGAAGTGGCACCTCTTAAATCTTCTACTGTTATGCCATGGTAATTTGGATCATTATAAGGAATTCTTCATTGGCTGAAGAAGGGGAGAAAATATGATTCATCTACACTGGCACTGAACACAATATTTCATGGAGAGCAAAAAGACACATCTTGGCCTTGAGGAGCTTGCAACCTGAAATGTGACACAAGGGAACAAAAAAAAACAGAGAGCCAGTGATGGGAAGAGAAGCTATCTGCACAGGCTTAGGCTAAATTAGTGGGTCATATACAGCAAGGTCGTCTTCCAAAATCTAATGCTCTCCAGGTGTTTTGGATTGCAGTTCCCATCAGCTGTAACCAGTAGTTCCATTGAGTAAGTATTATGGAGGCTGTAGCCTGGAGCACCTTGGGGGCACCAAACTGGGAGGACTGGAGCAGTGCATGGGATCTGTGAGGGACCAAGCTGGAGCCTTCATAGAAAAGCTGGTTCTCAGGAGGAAGTTCAAGAAAATGACAGCAACAGCATCACCTGAGAATTCGAGGAGGTCGGTCCAAACAACTGGAGGGCAAACATGTTTAAGAGGACACAGTCCCTCCCTTGAAGGAGGACAAGACCTATATGTGCTGGAGAGGAAAGAACAAAGGTTTTGGCAGAGCAGAAAGGTTACTTTTTGGACTACAAATCCCAAAGCCCTCCCTTCTCTCCTCTGCCCTAGCAAGGATGGAGCCTGGGGAAGGACTATATACGGTACTGGATTTGGAATCAGGCAGAAAGCTAGTGGTGGGACGTTTTTGGAGAAGGTATCAGATGAACAGAGCAATGGCAGATTTGGGCAACAGGAAGAGTAGAAGATTAAGATGGGGCGGTGGTAGCTGGAAGAAAATCTGTTCTAAGGGCCCCTTCTCAAACCCCTGGGGAGTCCAAAGGAAGAAGGCTTTAAGAATCTCACTCCTCAAAGGATCTCACAAATCCCAAGATGCATCAGAACAAAGTCCTGACAATTAAAAGGGGTATCAGACCGATATAGTTGCACATTGCAGATAACACTACTGAAACTGCCTGATACTGAGCTAGGTCATTAGTGAATTTAGCCCAGAACTGGCTACTCCTGGACTTCAGGGAGGGGCCACTTGCTTTTCCCACTTGTCATGCGGGAACAGAGGAATACCAGCAGCTGTCAGCATGCTCCTTTTATTAGAGCAATTTTGTTTAACACTTGGAAAAAGCTACATTTTAGTAAATCTTTACTTCTGGGAAGAAAAATGAATATTGTTGAAATTATGGCATCAAAACTAACAAGTCTGTTGCAAAAGCAGCTCTAGTTACAACAACTGGCTTTTAAAACAACACTTTAAAGGAAGTTGCAGAAAGCAGCTGTCTCTGTCAGCTTGTAAACATGTCAGCTGTGGGTTTAGAAACAAAATTACAGACATCTCCAAACAAGTTCCTTCC